AGCTTCAGCTTGACATTGAGGTAGAGACTCAGAGGCCACACAAAATACAGAAGTGAATTTTGGAGCTTCCCAAGTATACTTCAAGAGCAGTCCCTGGGGCCTCCTTTTCCTCCTGCCTTAGTCTGTGCTCACCCTGAGTCCAGCCCCAGCACTCTGCAGTGGTCCTTGGACGGTCTTGCCTGTTTCTCCCAGCTGTTCATCTTCCAACTCAGAAGCCCCTTGAGTGCAATATCTTATCACACAAACGAAGCTGGACCAGAGGGTGGCCTCTGCATCCTTCAATTAATACTGCTGTCCCCTCCGTCACTGGGACTTAGAGGCCAACTTGGTCAGTTTACCGTGTTGCTTCTAGTTAGAGAGTTACCTATAAAAATGACTTTACCGAGGTGATTACTGAGCCAGAAGCAATATTATCCTGTTCAATTCCAGGCACCTGCTTAAAGAACTTAAGAAATCTTAAATATTCTAACCTATGCATGCACTCATTCAACGTGAACAAAGATATTTAAGTGACCAGCTCTCCCAAAGCATTCTCTCTCTCTACGAGCTGCCAGATGCCTGACCCACTACTGGAAGAAGGAAATGCCTACTTCCACAGCACCTGACTCTTTCTAGGGGAGTACAGGAAGGAAGTCTTTAAAACTTACCACCCTCATAGCCAACGTGGTGTCAGACAAATCCATAAATGACCCAGAACTCTCTAGGTGTTCTATTGGTCCTATAACTAGAAAAAGCCTCTTGTTCAAATTGTCTTCTAAATATCAAACTAACAAGATGACCCACGGTTACCCTAAACCCAACCCAGCCCCCTCTAGTCTCATCTGTTGCCCTGTGGTCTTTGCTGTGGAGGCCACCTCCTGGGAGACTCCAGGCTTGATACTTTTTTCCTACCTTGGGCTGTTCCAAAGAAAGTCAGGAAGTCTTAGATGAGAAGCAGATGGTAAGGGAAAGAAAGTCTGTACATGACACTTCTCTATTATATAACACTAGGCATACAACCTACCAGCATCTGCCTTGGAAATACCTAGTGGCCTACTACTTCAAAGGCAAAAAGAGAAGAGATTACTAACAATCATGTTAATATATACCATGTGAACGTATTGCTTGTACAACACCCAATGCCTCCAAGCACTAAACTGGGCCCTGTGGAATAAATTTTAGAGCCTCTTTGGGGCCAGATCACTATGAAAGTCACTAGCACTGCTCACCTGTATCCTATTCTCCTCTTTTCCAAGCAAGAAATATTGAACCGTGGTTCAGTGTGGTCCTATAACAGGTGTTGGGCTGGAGCAGTGCCACTCACTTCTGGGTGGGATCACATAACCGCCAGAGTGACACCCTGCTGCATCTCCTTCCCAGGGCTGCAGTGACTGCCCAAGCCCAAGCACCCTTAGCCTTCAGCAGTTTGGTCCTTGAGTGACTACAGTGAGCAGGACCCACCTGCCAACCACACTGGAAACAGAATGGGAAAGACAGAAACTCTGTTTAGTGCTGAGATATGGAGGTGTTACTGCAGCTTAACTGACCTCTCCTGATCACACATCACTGTTCAAAAAATAATAATAATAAGAGGAACCCCCAATCCGTTTTCTAAAAATCTGATAATACAGAAAAGCAGAATATGTTTCAAAATTTAAGTACAGCAGAGATGGTATCACATCTCAAAATGGGGAGGGTGCCCACAGCATAGACAGGTTCAGACCCCTCTGAGGGAAAAAGAAAACACAATGGCCTCCCAACCATGGTGGAGCCTAGCCGTTCCTGTGGGATTCAGCTGAAAAGTCCAAAGACCCTGAAGAAAAGGACACTTCTGACTACAGTCTCAGCCATCTAGGGAGAAGAGTTCCCCAGTAAGAGGGAATGACATAGAGGCCAGTGGAGCACAGTCTCCTTCTCAGAAGTCCAGTTCCACTCTATTCACCCCTCTAGCTTCCCCAGAACCTAATCACTATCCAGTTCCATGTCTCCATCTTCCTCCAAGCTCCCGAAGGTGATTCATTTTCGTGCCTCTGCCCCTCACCCCCATCCTTTGGCACCTCTCACAGAGCCCATTATCTATCAGATGCCCAATAAACACCTGGTGAATGAGTAGATTCATATTACAGAAAGGCACAGGAGCCAAAGGTTTAGCCAATATTTCCTGTGCTCCTCCAACCTAAACCTAAACACACCACAGCAGACGTCTGGGGGTGGGGAGCCTCCTTCTTAAAAAAAAAAAAAAAATTAAGCATCAATACAACACTTTATTATGATTTATCACTGTACATCATTTAAAACTACAATGAAACCTAACATTGCACTGTGGCTATCTTTGTTCTTAGACATGCATTTACATGTGCAGGCAGCTGTTTTCCCATGTGGAATTTTGTGTATGAGGTATTTATTTTTTCTATTTAAAAAGAAACCACACCCTTGTTTCTACTGCATTATTACATTCCCTGTTATCCCATCATGTGGGTTTTATTCTTGCAGCAACACAGTACACACCGTGCATTATTGCTGACATAAAAAATCACTTGTCAAATTACCTCTATCCTAGCACCGTATTACTAATCTCATCTTTCCACAGCATTGGCCTTTGTTTCAGCTGGGACTGGGTAACTCATCTGCTTCTCCTAGTGATTCTCGAGTGCTTTGAGGGGGAGGATAAATGCTAGTGTCACTCTGTTTATAAAGTCACCTTTCAAAACCAAACTACCTTAGAGGTGAATGATAAATCTGTCAAGTGTTAAACTTTATTTTTCAAGGGATTGAGGGAGGGCGGGTAAAGGGAATTTGCTGTTCTGCTGCTGCTACACTGCAAAAAGGCACTCCAGTAGCCTTTGGCCCTCAGCAATCTGTCTTTCTATGAGAAAACCCTGGATGCATTTCCATGACCATTCTTATTCCCTGCTACTTGTGTGGGATGCGCAGAGCTCTGCCCTCTTGGAGAGAATGCCAATGCCAAGGTGCCCGATAAGTCTGAAGGTTACATTTCATTGCACTTTATCAAGATAACCCCAAATCTGGTTAAGTTGACACCAAAACAGAACTATCCTTGGAAAGAAAAGAACAGGAACAGGCCAGTTTTTGGAAAAGAACCAAAAACCTAAAGATAAAATGCAGAATGAGAGTCTAATGGTTCATGGCTATATAAATGGAAACTTCACTAAAGCTCCATTTTTTCTGTTCTTTCTGGTCCCCCAACAACCCTCACTACACCTCCCAGCAACTTACTGCCAACTGGCTGTCTTGATTTTGCAAATACTCTTACAATGAAGGGATGGGGAAAAGGCATTATTTCATAAGAAGGTCACTGCATTTGGCCAATGCCCTAATTGAGCAGTGGTCAAATTTACAATCGGTCTTAACAATATCAGCCTTACCATGGCACCTTTCCAATCAAAGATACCCACCTATAAACTGAAGTAAAAATAAATTACCATAGATAAGAACACTATCTTCTATCCAACCCCCACATGCAGATACCACTGCCTATGTACTGACAGTATCAAAATTCCCATCAACCAGGTGGAATATACAACCCCCAAAGCATCCTTTCCCCCAATGACTTTTTCAAAAGGAAGGTAGGAAGTCATTTCCAATTTATTCCTCTGAAGCAAAGGTTTCTGCAGCCCCCACGCCTTCACACAGAGATGCTGATGCAGAAACCACCAAGCAGCCCTGTGTCAGCACCGTGGGCCCAAATGACCCAGAGACACCCAGGCGGCTACCCAAATTACTGGGGGTTACCTGAATCTGTCACCGAGTCCCTTTCACCCCCTTCTGCGTGATGACATCAAGTGAAAATGGTACGCATTTGGGAGGCAAGAGGCTGACAAGCAGAAAGCACAATTGAGACTGAGCTTTGTTCAGCCTGCAGTGAAATACATGCAGTAAGGGTTAGATACGCGCAGCACAGAAAGAAATCCAGGCACCCTCCCCAGCCAGCGGTGTCTCGGACTGGGTGTCCTGGGAGAAAGCGGCGGAGGAGTGGAGGACTGGCGGGGAGAGGAGGGGGTGTAACAGATCCTAATTGTCTCTCTAGGATAAATAACCACCCCCTCCTCCGCAGTCTCCCCCGCCCCCAAGTTCTCCTGTGGTACAGCCTATACTAGCGACAGTAATCCCTCAGAAAGAGGAATCCGAGAGGTGGAGAATACCATCTGGGGGCAAAGATAGGCGAGCAACATACACTAGGTACACCCGGTCATATGGGAATGCGGGACGCCTGGTCACCCGCCCAGACACACCAGCGCTGCATTCGCAAGCATCCTTCTTTGGTTTGCCCCTGTCCGCCACCTCATCAAGTCCCTGTCACTCTGTTTTGCTGATTTCTCTACTCCTTCCAAACCCGTGCAGCGCTCCCCCCTCTCTACCCCCACCATAAGCGGGATCGGGGACCGCCGCTGCTCCAGCAGCACCCCTCGAGTCCATCCTGCTTTGTCCTGCCGCTGTCCTTCCAGGAGCAAGCGCCCCAGGCGTCTGTAGTCCGCACAAAAGACCCCCAACGTCTGGCCAGCCGCTGCACCCTTTTTTCCCAGGAGGGGCCCCCGGGCAACTTCTAGGGGTGGGGAAAGCGCACGGCTAGGGGACTGGGAGGAGACCAGCCGGGCGTGTGCGGGCTGGGGGCTCAGCGAGGGCGCGCGGCGCAAGCACGAGGCGAGCTCCCTGGGACCGGAGCTCCAGGGGGCATCCGAGGACTCCGCGGAGCCGCCGCCAGCGCCGCTCTCCCGCCCCAGCCGCGCGCCCAACTCCGCCAGCTCTGGGGAGAAACGCAACTCCCGGGACCACCGCCCCCGAACCCGCCGGACCCCGCGCTCCCTTCCCCAGGGCTCCAGCGGGCCCGCCACCCCATTCACTGTCCAAAGGGTACCCACCCCCAACACACCAGGCGGCAGCTGCCCTTTCGCGCCTCCCTGCAGCCGCCGTGGGGGCGCAGACATCCCTTCGCGCCCCTCTCCCTCCGCGCCCGAGCCGGGAGGTGTCCTGGGCACAGAAACAAACCGAAACTCACTGACCTTTCTCCGCAGCGCGCTCGGGCGCTCGCTACACCGGCGGCGGCAGCATCGCTGGGTGGTCCCGGCGCGCCCGCCCCGCTCAGCCAGACGCACGCCGTGGGCCGGCGGCCGCCCGCTCCTCCCGCGGCGGGCTGCGGGGCGGCGCGGGCAGCGCGGCGGCGGCGCCTGCAGCCCAGCTCTCCGCCCGGCCCTTCGGGCGGCGCCCCACCTGCCCGGCCGCCCTCCGCGTCCCCTGTCGGACACCGCCGCCAGGCGCTCGGCACCGAGCGGGAGCTTTTTGTGTCACCGCCGACACTAAGACACCGAAGGGGGTGGGGGCGGGAGGCTGGGCTCGGCTCCCGCGGCACCGCCCCTCCCCGGCGGCTCCACCTCCTCCCCCACCCCACCCATCCGCCTGTCCCGGACCTCAGTCTGTCGGTCTGGATTCTCCGAACCTCCCCGGGATGAGAGGTGCCCGCTCCCTCACGCGCCCTCCGCACCTGGTCCCCAAGTGCCCACCCCCGATCAGCACCTGGACGTTGCCTTTTCCCCGCGCGGGAGCCTAAATCAGGTGTGAAAGGAGGCCTAGCGCGGTGGGCAGCGAGGGCGAGTCAAAGTGGGGGCCCCGCGGCTGCCGGGAGGGCCCAGGCTGGGGCTCCCCACCGACCGTGGGAGGAAGCAGCTTAGACCGTCGCGTTTGCAGAAACCGCCCAGGATCCGTGTTACCGCAGCTAGTTTTTGGCTACCCCTAAAAGTTCACGTAGTCTTGTCAGGGCCGATCCTGCTTTCGAGGAGGGGAGGATGCATCCGATTGGTCACCTCACGTCTGGACCCCGCGGGTAGCTGGGGTACAGAGAATAGGGAAGCAAGAAGGTGCAAGTCTTAGGGGGTTGTGCAAACGGGAACCACTAGGGCCTGGGAGCAACCCCATCCCACCCTGATCTTGACCTTAAAACCCAACTCCGGGCCCACTCTATTCCCCATCTTAAAAAATCTAACTTCTGGGTTGGGAGTATAGCTCAGTGGTAGAGTGCTTGTCTAGCATGCTCAAGGCCCTGGACTCGAGTCCCAGTACAATAAAGACACAACAAGCAAAAGCCTGGGGGACAAGTGTAGAAGGTCTTCTACCCCCAAGAAAAATCTAGACAAGGTCTCCTGCTTCCTCAGCTAACTAAAACAGGGGAATGGAGGAGGAAGGTCTCCGGTAAATGATGGTTTTCATGCCCCTTTGTGTGCCCTTTTAAAGGATTTCCTTGCAAAATGAAAACCTAAAACTCTTGCCTCTTGTCAAAGTTTAGCCTGCCAACCTTGCTGGGCCTCCAGCTCCAGGGTTGGGTTTAATGATCCCTCCCCTGTGCTGTAGAGCAGAGCAGGCAGCCTCTCCTCCAGCTGCCTGAACTGGAACTGTCTTGAAGTCCTAAGTCCCATGTTCCCTCCCTTAAGTATCTCACCAGCTCTCTTTTGCCATGATAATAAAACCCTATGAACTCTTGGGGGCTATGTGTGAGCTACCAAAATATAATGTTATAATGTTCTCAGCAGCCTTTCTTGTACCACAAATACAACCTGTTGATGGTGTTTCCAAATACTGTTAGTAAGCACATACAGAAAACTGATCACCTGGAGAGAGAGAGATATAACTGGAAATGTATCAGTCTGAGATCCCAATTAAAGCACTGCCTCCTATATGGTCCCCTGACTGATCCTTGTGCCTTTGTTCCCCCAAGTTATCACCTCTCCTGTACACCACAGAGGTGTGAAAGCTGTATGCACATCTTAGAAGCCTAAGGTAAGTTTTCAGAGATTTATTTTAAGCTTCAACTTTAGGGCAGAAAAAAATTTTATTTTTAATGAGAAGTTAATGAGGGTATTGACAGCTCAATTGCTGGCCAGGAGCTCAGGATAAGGAAGGTGAATTATAACACCCCAATATTTTACCAGCAAAATAAAAGTGACTTTCAAGATTACTTTTAAGAAACTAATTTCAGGGTTCAGTAATCATTCCCAAATGTTTCAACCCTTTTTTTTCCTGCCACAAATGAAAAGACAATTCTTTGGGGGAGGGGATGTTAAGAATTCATTTTGTGTGGAATAAAAGCCTCCACTCTTATGCATTTCTACTGACTAGTATTTTAATTCACAGAGCATCATGGGTGTTCTGCCTTCTGTCCAGTCTTGTAAAGTTGTCACACAGAGAAGGTTAATTAACTGGGGCAAACTGGGATGGGCCGGTTCTTAAGACTCCTTCGAGGCCAGCACTGGGCAGGCAGCAACAGCTTGAGTCAGGGAAGGAACAGGCAAGAACATGTCACAACAGATTCCTCTGTGAGAAAGTTCCAGGAACTAGGCAGCTAGAACCAGGTAGTGTTCGGGGCTGCAGGCTGGCAAGCAGTGTGGCTGGAGACTCTGCCATCACCCTCCAGACCCAGGCACTACCTACATGTGGGGGAGAGAATCAAGGCACCATCCCAGGTCTGGGAAAACCAGGGTTATGAGGAGGGGGCTCCAGTCAGGAGGATTAGGCCGGAGGATCTCAAGTCATTTATGCATTAATTCATACAACAGATATTCATTGAGTATTGACCATGCATCAGGAGGACTAAGACAGAGAGGCAAACACCCAAATCCCTGCACTCACAGAATGCATGTTCTAATGAAGAAGCAGACAACCCACAACATAAATAATTAAAATAAATTGTATGTTGGAAAGTGAAAAAGGTAAGGAATAAAAATAAAGCATGGGGCTGGGGCTATAGCTCAGTGGTAAAGCATTTGCCTGGGTTCAATCCTCAGTGCCACATAAAATTAAATATACTGTATGTGTTCATCTACAACTAAAAACCAATAGTCAAAAAATAAAAATAAAGCATGGAAAGAGGTGAAGAAGTGTGTGTTGAGGGGAATTTTAAATAGGTGGCCAGAGAGGGTCACTGAACAAGCCGCCTTTGGAGCTGAGAACTGAAGGAATGGAGGAGGCACACAGTGCCGGGAAACAGTGAAAGACTATTTCATTACCAGAGAGGGTACCAGAAGAGGTCTGCATTTGGCCAGGGGCAAAGGTCGGGATACTAAAACTGGGTCATAAGGTCAGTGAGACCCATAATTGATGTATGCCGAGTCACCTGAGATTGAAGCAAAGCTGCTTGTATCAGGCAGGTGAGTTCTTATTCATCTTTGTACCCACAGCATGGAGCACTGATGCCCAATAAACGTTTATTGAACTGAGCTCTTAAATCTCTGAGAACCTGGGGTGGGGCAAAGATAAATGTGATCCTATAATACCCAGGGCAGCTCTTCTATCAGGATGACATCTTCGCAAAAGAATGTGATGATTTCTTCCATAGCTTTTGTGACTGTCTTCCTGGTCTTTGAGGACAGGGGTCATCTTTTGACTTGTATCCTCAGCAGCTAACATACTAAGGAGAAAAGGGGGAGGGGAGGCAAGAAGAAAGAGGGAGAGGAACAAGGAAAGAAGCAAACCCTGTTTAGTGCTCCATACCCTGAAAGATCCAGATCCAGCCCCAAATTGAGGGTAAGTTTTCTGTTCAACAGGTTTGAATTTTACATGTTGAAATAATTCAGTTTTACACCTCAAAACTGAATTATGGGCCGGGCACAGTGGCACAAGCCTATAATCCCAGCAGTTTGGGAGGATTAGGCAGGAGGATCACAAGTTCAAAATCAGCCTCAGCAGTTTAGCGAGGTGCTAAGCAATTCAGTGAGATCCTGTCTCTAAATTAAATACAAAATAGGGCTGGGGATGTGGCTCAGTGGTTTTGTGACCCTGAGTTCAATCTCTGGTGCCTCCCACCCCCAAAAAATAAAAACCCTGCATTATGGCAATAGTTGCACAACCCAGTGAATGTACTAAAAATCAATGAATTCTACATTTAAACAAGTGGCTTTTATGGTATGTACATTATACATCAATAAAGTTGTTTAAAAAGATTAAAGTGTTTAGACAGCTGTGCAGACTGTCAATGAAAATACAAAGAGGTATCTTTAATCACACACATTTGATAATAGATATTTAAACCTTCCTAATAGATTTTTAAACCAAATTAATCTACAAATTTATTTTTCACTAATGTGATATCAACCACCTTAAAATGAAAGAAGGCTAAAGAAGCTTTAAAGCATATAGTCTAAGATAATTTACTAATAATTAATGCTAAAGATAGTACACATTTCAAAACTGGTTTTTATTTTGGGGCTCTGCATCAACCAGTCCCAATAGACTCATTATTCTGGTAAGATGTTCTGATGGAGAGAAGTACTATATCTGACATATTGTCTCTTACCTATTAAGAACCCAGTGCTATCTAAGGACAGCTAAATCTCATCTGGAACAAAATACTGAAGTATTTTGGAAACCCCAAAGGATTTTGATAGAAACTATATCCAGGATAGCTTTTCTAAAAGTACTGGTCCATGGAACAAAGCATCTCTATTATTTTGCCTCATTTTTTTTTCTCTTTTCTGTAATACTGGAGATTGATCCCAGGGCCTTGTGCATGCTAACCAAGTGCCTTACCACTGAGTTGCATCCCCAGCCCTTAACTTCCAAAGCAGCTGGCCAGAATGATATGACCACAATCAAAGATCCACCCATCATTTTGGATGCAGACCATAAACAATCAGTATGGCCTTTGTGGTGTCCTGGCTGAATGTCAGTTAGACTGTGATGTCCAAGTCCTCTGGGCCCCTCCACAGCAGCAAGCATCAGCTATGTTCTTATTATGTTCATACTGTCTGGGTCTCAATATGATTCTCATTTTTGCCAGTAAATTTCTGGTGTCTCTGCAGGAGATAGGGCAGAGGAACCATCATAAACTCAGTCCCTTCCCTTGTACAAGCAGTGTCAACAATGTTCTCACTGCCTATTGGGTGGGAGTGACCACGTGAGCTCCACTGTGGTTGGGAGGGGTTGGAATGTATAGCTCCCCTGTCACCGTCTCATTTTCCACCTCCGCCATCTGTCCTGGTCTCCTTCTTTGCAGGTGTACCCCACTTTCTATTCATCCATTGGTTTCCTACTGCCGTACTTCCCATCAGCCATCAGGTTGCTGGCGTCCACACGGTTCCTCCCCTCATCTGTCCGTTAAACCTGCTACTGCACCTGCCAGAAAGCGGAATGGTCCTGCTGGACAGGAG